TTGGGCCCTTTCCTCACGTGGCCGGGACTGGGACTCGGAGTCCCGCGGGCCTGAGGCAGGGGCCGGGCTCCTGGGTTCTCCCCAGCCCGGGGGTGGCAGGGCCGGACTCCTGGGAAGGGGCGTGGGGCTGATGATTCAGCAGGTGGCCCCGGCTTGGAGCCCGCAGCGGAGCCAGGCCGGGATTCCCCAGCCGCAGGGTCGGCCCCTGCAAGCCCTGGCACGACTGCTCTGCCTGAGGACTTGCTTGGTGTCTGTGCTGGGCCAAAACTCGGACCCCGGCTTCCCCCGCAGCAGGCACCTGCCACCGTCCCGGCCTGCTCCGGGGGACCCTGGGCAGGGTTGGGGTACGCGGAGGTTTAGAGCCCTCCCCCCGCCCCAGCACACAAGGAGGACACAGACCACGGCTGGTGCTGACAGTGCCAATGCAGCTTTATGAGTTACCCTGGAGCCGGTGGCACCGGGTGCTGGTGACATGCAGGGCAAGCCCATGACACGAGGTGCCAAGGTGGGTCCTGAGTACCTGCCCCACTGCACGCACCTTTTATACAAATTATTAAAAACCCCAGGCAGCCACAGGCCCCTGCAGCTGCACAGGGGGCCAGGGGTGGTGTAGGGCCCCAGGACCCCTGTGGGGCAGGGGGGGTCCCACGGGCAGGAGGTGGCAGCTGAGGTTGGATGTTCCCAGGAAGCTTCAGCCGCAGCAACCTGTCCAGACACGGGCACAGAGCAGGATGGGCCCTTGAGGCCAGAGTGCAGTAGCAGCTGGGGTCAGAGCGCCAGCACAGGCGGGTACACAGAGGCATCTGCAGGGAGATGGGGGTCAGTGCGGGCATAGGGCGCTGGCATAGCCCTGTGCCAGAAGGGGTGGGGACAGCGGCTCACGTTTGGGGCTGCCCGGGCCATCAGGCTCGGGCACCTTCCAGTCCATCTTGCGGCCTTTCTCATACAGCCCCTTGAGCACCTTGCGCACCTCATCGGGCTCGGCGCTGCCCTGGCTCAGTGCCAGGTATTTGCGGTAGAGCTGCAGCGCTGTGCGCGCGTCCTCAATGCTGTCATGCGTCTCCGCCTGGATCTTCAGGTCTGGGGGGCCAGAGGGGGGAACTGGTCACTGGGGACCCAGCTGCCTCTGACCCTTGTCCAGAGAGCCCTGGGGACGGCTTGAGCCAGCGGCGCTTTTACCGGGCAGGGTGCATCTCCCCTGCCCTGCCAGCGCAGCCCAGGGCTCCACTCACCTAGGAAGTACCAGGCAAGGAAGCGCAGTGAGATCATCCTCTTCCTGGGGATGTGGAACAGGTAGACTGTGTCAATCACCTGGTCCTTGGGCACCTGGAGAAGGGGCAGAGATGAGTGGGTTTGTGCGCAGTCCCTGTACACCCGCCCCAGGGAGAGCAGGAAGACCCAGGGCTGGGAGGCATACCATGAGGTTGATGACCCGAAAGTCCTTCTGAAGCCCGTGGCCCACGAACTTGACCCCCACGTCGATGAGGAAGCGCAGCTTCAGGTAGGTTGACTTGAGTGTCGTGAGGTGCTTAGAGGAAATCTTGGCGTCCAGGTCCCCTGGCTTGATCCCTGAGTACTGGGTCAGGTAATCCACCACCTGGGGGGAAGGAAGGGGGCTGTAGGGCAGGGACGGAAGCTTGGGGCCGAGGGGTGGGTGGGGGGCAGGGGCCATACCTGCTCCTGGGTGGAGATATAGTCATCGATGAAGGGGACGCCCTCGTTGGGGCCCTGGCCGCGCACACACGTGATCCGCGCCACTGACATCTGGCTGGGCTTGATGGTGGACTTGGTCCCGTCACTGCGCAGCTCAGCCTCCTCCTGCGGATGGGTGGGGCTGAAGCTCCACGGCCCCCCACTTGCTCCCCCAGGGGGTCCCTCTGCCCAGGTTGCACAGCTCTGGCCCCCTGCCCAGCCCTAGGTCCTACCTCGTTGAGGGTGACGAACTCGGCATCCAGCCCCACCAGGTCGCCAGCCTGGGGCATCTCACTGAGCATGAGCGGGATAAAGGTGGCGTGGCACTTGCGCTGCTTGCGGGCCAGTGACGCCTCAGCCAGGAGTACACTGGCCTCGATCGGGTTTTTGACTGTGAAGCAGGCAGCACGGGGCTGGGGGGGGGGGCCGTAGAACCTGAACGGCCATGGGGGTGGGGTGATACCTGCCCAGGGGGGTGGCAATGCCCTCCCGGGGGCATCAGAAGTTGCACGGACCCCAGGCCTTGCGCCCTGCCCAGCCCGGGGCCACGTCAGGGCAGGCCACAGTAGCAGGATATGAGCGTGAGCCGCACCCCCGGTACAGACTGGTCCATGTCCCCCCAGCCCCACACTCACTGGTGAGGTTGTACTTGGCGTTGAGGTTGCGCCGGGCGTAGTATAGCACGGCCGGCACCTTCCAGCTCATGTCGAACTGCACAGCCTCCCACTGTGGGCAACGGTGTGGGTGTAGGCACAGGGACACCCCCTTGTGCCCCCCCCCAACAAATGAGAGAATGGGGACTGCCACATTACAGCTCCCGGCTTCTGCCCTGGCACTGGGGCTCCCTCACCTTGTCCACAGGCTCGATGAGGAAGTCATTGAAGAGGTACCACTGCTGATGTGTTACGCCCTGTGGGGGAGGGGGTGTTATGGCGCATTGCCCAGCGCAGCCCCCTCCACCTCCCTGGGTCTGGTGACTCACCTCCTTCCTCTGGTGGTAGGTCTCCCCAACCTTGATGTGCCCCACGAGGCTGCCGCCAGTACGGGAGTCCAGGATGTGCACCACCGTGGCCATCAGGTCATACACGTGCACCGAGTCGGGGTCATCCGACACACTTGGCTGCAGGTAGCGACCAGCACTGGTTACCACCCATGGCTTGGCGTGCGGACCAGGGCAGTGGTTCCAGGTCCTGTCCTGCCCTTGCCCCCTTCCTCTCCCCCCAGGACCACAAGGGGACCCTAGCCCCTGCTCTGGGGCCTGGAGCATCAGCTTGGACCCCAGAGACAGCCCCCGCTGCCTCCCCTGGTTCCCAGCTGCCAGACAATGGGTGCAGGCTCCAGCCCCAGGCATGGATCAAGACTGACCCCAGCCCCCTCATCCCCGGGGACCACGGCACCTCATCGCTCTCGCTCCAGTTGCAGACATCCAGCTCCTTGTTCTTGGTCAGCCGCATGCGGATGGCGTGGGGGATCCACACATTCTTCAGCTCCTCCATGGAGGGGTAGGGCTGCCCGGGCTCGGCACTGCCTAGCTCCTTCCTGCAGGACCAAGCACAGTGGGTTCTGGGCCCCAAGGCACCAGGGCCAGCTACACTGCTGGCAACTGGCGCCAGCTCCACTCCACCCCAGAGGCAGCTGCGTTCAGCAACAGCTGGGGCAGCTGAAGGCCCTAGGGGCTGCATAGCCTTGGGAGTCCGGAGGGGCCAGGGCCCTGGGGGAGGCACCTACCAGTCACCGAGTGCCAGGTCCTTGCCCTTGGGCACCTCCAGGCCTCGCTTCATCAGCGCCTTCTGGAAGGCAAACTGGGAAGGGGGTGAACAAGAGGCTCAGCATGGTGGGCAGGAGCCCTGGGATAAGGACGGGTAGGACACAGCCCGGCAAGGGCACCTCCACCCCCAGGGTCCAGCTGGATCCGGAGAGCTGCTGGTGTCACACTGTCATGAGTGCCAGCTCCAGGGACTGCAAAGACCTCGTTGAGACCCAGAGGGGGTGGCACAATCCTGCCACCCCACTCGTGCAGTTGCCCCTGCACCACCCACCTCAGCCTGCACCTTCCAGAAGTCAGCCTCCTTGGAGCTGTTCACCTCACAGTTGATGACCAGGACGTCCGGCAGGCACCGGATATTCCGGGTCTGGACCTGGAGCAGGGGGAAGGTGGGGAAGGGCTAGGTGCCAGCAGCCCCTGAGGGATGGGGGGAGCCCAGAGCCAGCGGAGCACTGCCCGTGGCCCAGCCTGTCCTCCCCAGGCCATGTGGGATCAGGGCCCTGCAGGTGATCGGCAGGAGATGTGAACCTGCTCTGGCACTCACTGTGGGCTGGTACTTCTCGCAGTTCTCACACCAGGCCTGCGTGCTCTGCTCCAGGCAGATGCTCCTCTTCAAGATCTGGACAAACTCATAGTCCTTGATGGGCTTCTCTGGGGAAGGGGCACAGCCTCATCAGTGCAAATCCTGATGAATGTGGTCAGCACAGGGAGCTGCAGGCTGTGTCCCACTGCTACCCAGGGATGGGAGGGGAGGGGAGGGGAAGGGAACAGCTGTGATGCCCCCCGAGTGGGCACGGGCTGGCACCAGGCCTAGTTCGACAGGGAGCTGCACACTCGTCCTGGCGTGTGCCTTACCAGTGCTGTCAGGGTAGGAGAGGGTGAAGAGCAGGGTGGATGACACGCGCACTGTCTCCTTGCCACAGCGGCACATGCTGCAATTCTCCATCTCGCAGCTGAAGAGCTGCCCAATGACCGACTCCCCAGCTGAGGCGAAGCTGCTGGGCGAGAAGAGCCATGGCTGAGTGCTGCCTGCGGCCAGAGACCAGCCTGGGGCCCAGGGCTGCCATGGAGAGCCCCGGGGGCAGTGGACAGCCTGCACCACTCAGGGTTCATGTGGGTGGCCCAGCATGGAGGCTACGTGCATGGGGATGAACATGGTGTTACCTGCCACCAGCGCCCCGGTAGGCCTGTGGCCCCTCCTGCTCCTGGGTCTCTTGGTGCAGTTGTGTGAGGATGAAGCGGTTCCAGCTCTGGATCAGGCGGCCTAGGTTCACCTTCCCTGTGGCCTCATCTGAGTCAGCCAGGATCAGGCCCAGTGCCGAGGCTTCTGGGATGGTACGGAAGGCGCGCAAGAAGTTGCTGCCCTGGGTGTGGGCATCGGGGGGGGCTCTTAGCTCCATGCCAGGAGCTGGGGCCCCAGCTGCATGACAAGTACAGATCCAAGCACAGCTCACCTGGCAGGGGTCCCCACGGGAGAGGTCCAGCATGTGGAAGAGGAAGCCAAGCTCACAGCCCAGGCAGAACTCCTTCTGGCACAGGTGGTTCTGCACCAGGCAGCGCACGGGCTCCAGGAAGTACAGCACCTGCAGGGGCACCAGGTCAGGGAGGCTGGGCACGGCTGGGGCTGGGAGACAGGGGAGTGGGGTGGCAGCCTCACCTGGATCATGCAGTTGCAGTAGGCATTGGGGATATGGGGTTCCAGCCCCGCGAACAGCGTCTTGTTGTAGTGCTTGAAGTCAAAGTCCTCCAGCCCCAGCTTCGAGTACTTGATGGTGACCTGGGCAGGTGCCAGTCACCAGTGTGGGACCTCCCAGCTGTGACCCCCAAACCCAGGCTGGGCCACAGTGCAGCCCCATGACACAGCAGCTCCCCACCATGGGCCAAGGCCCCTGGCACTGTTATGGCTGGGGGGTCCCATGCTGCCCCCCACCAGTGCTGGCAGACCCTGCAGGCCAGAGTTGGCTGCCCGTCCCCCACCACCAGGTACCAGGTCAGACCTTCCTGTACTTCTTGGCCACCATGTAGAGATGTGGCTCCTCCTCACGGCCAATGGGGGACTCAGGCACTTGGCTGAAGCTGTCGAACTCGTTGTCCAGCTCCTTGAGCCGGTACGGGATCTGGGGGGGGACAGGACCCAACAGCCTGGTTACTTTGTGCTGTGTACCCCCAACCCCACACACACATACAGTCCAGCCCCTCGGTCCTCCTGGCTCTCCCCCAGGGTCTGCACTGACCTGGTTGCGAAGCTTGGTGCGGGGGTTTGGGGCATAGCCAATGAAGCCCACCTTCTTCATGGTGCGCAGGATCTCGGGGTCCACGGGTGGCGCCCGCCTGTGGCACACAGTGTGGCTCAGCCCCTGAAATGCACTGGCCCTTTGGGCTCTGGGCCCAGCTTGGGGCTCCTGGGGACAGTGGAGCCATCCCTAGGACCTATCAGCTCAGTGCCGGTGTGGGGGGGGAGCAGGGCTCTGAGGGGGAAGCCGCAACTGTAGCAGAGACTCTGATGCAGTGCAAGAAGCCACAGCTGGGCTGGGGAAGGCGCTGGATGAGACTGCGGGTGCAAGAGTCTGACCACGGAGCCCAGGGTGCAGCCAGCTCTTGGGGAAGCGCCGGGGGATTTCCCCAGCGTCCGCAGCATGGCCAGGCTTTCAACTCATCCTTCCCCAGAGCAGAGTCAGAGCCCAGCCCCCGCCCGCCAACACCCCGGCCTGGGCCCTTCCAGGTGCCACTGGGCCGGCTCTCACCGGGGGGCAGGGACCGAGTTGGCAGCGGGCCAGTCGGACAGCAAGGTCTCGCTGGTGAGGGGCACGGGGATGAGCGAGAGGGGTACGAGGTCCTGGCCCCAGTCGAGGTGGGGCAGTGAGTCCACGATGCAGGGTAGGGCGAAGTCAGTCTCCCGGGAGAAGGCATTGAATGTGGCCTCGGGCGAGTCAGCCCAGAGGTGAACGCAGCCCTCTGAGTCACCGAAGGCCAGCGCCTGCTTGGTGCCCGACACGTCAAATGTCATCAGCAGCTGTCCCACCGTGGTGACGTGGAAGATGTCAGCCGGGTTGGCCAGGCCCGTGGGCTCGCAGAACTGGCCCTGGCCTGCATGGATGACGGGACAGGGCTGGAGACGCGGGCGGGGGGTGGGGAAGAGTCGAGAGGCTCCCGACCCCTATGTCCCAGCCCCGGGGCAAGGAGGAGCACATCCCCCAGCTCTGTGGGGTGCCTGGTGCAAGCAGGGGTGCCGCAGGGAGCTCCTAGCCCAGGAGGGCTCCAGGCTGGGCAGTGCTGTGGCCCCTTGGACTGGAGGAGGAGGGTCGTCCAAGCCCCGCTCTACGGCCCTTGGGGCCTGACACCCTATGGGAACCACAGCCCCAGATCCCTGCCCCAGCTGGGGCCTGGAAGTGCAGGGTGGAGCCCTGGAACCAGCCCATGCCCACACTCCCCCTCCTGCCCCATACCTGCCCAGACCCCTGCTCCCCCATAGCTTTCCCCACCCCTGCCCATGCTGCTTCTTGCCTCCCACCCGCCATCCCTGGATTGCACCAAGTCTGGAAAACCCACATCAGGGACCTCCCCAAGACTGGCAGAGGGGCTAGTGAGTCGGGGCAACCTGGCTCCTTAGCCTGTCAGGGCCTGGGTAGGTGTAGGGGCAGGGATCTGGCTGGGCCCTACCAGTCTGGGAGATGATGGCGAGGCGGGAGGTGTAAGTGGGGACGAAGCGCAGGAAGGCGGGGTCCACGTGCACCTGCAGCGGGGTGATGGCCCGCATCACACGCAGATCATACACCTTGAGGAAGCGGTCACAGGCCAGCCCCGCACGGCGGCTTGAGAACCCGCAGGCTGCCAGCAGGTTCCCGTGCACGTCGAAGTCTGACAGGCTGCCCGAGTAGGCGTCCAGCTCGTGCTCTACCGTGAAAGTGCGTGGGTCCCGCACTGACACCTGGAGGCAGGGAGGGGCCATGACGGGGCTGCACGGGGTTCGGGGGGGCGGCAGCACCAGGGAGGTCCCACGGGTAAGGGCGGGACTGTGCTACCTTTCCTGATGTGTGTCCGCAAAAGAAGAAGCGATTGGACTGGCGCATGATGGTGACGCCGGGCACCTCCACCGTGTACTGCAGGGGAAGAGGTGGAGTAAGCACAGGCCAGAGGGCATCTGCCCGCTGGCTGCATGGGGCCCAGACTCTTGGGTTATATCCTAGTCGACCAGCTCCTGGGAGGTCAGGGCTCTCAGAGTCCTGCTGCCCCCCACAAGGATGGGGCCCAGCTGCTGCACCTTCTGAGTCTCCTGGACCGTGTTGAGATCGATCTCGATGACATGGTTCTGCAGGCCCCCGACCAGCAGTGTGCTGGGGTCCGTCAGCAGGAGGCTGTGCATGTCCTCGCTCTCATCCATGCTGTGGGTGGCGGGGGAGGGGACAGGAGTGAGCTCTCACCCCCAGGGGCTGGGAAGTCTGCCACAGCCCCCTCCCCCTGCCTGGGCCCTGATGTGCCCTCACCGGGGACCGAGCCAGCTTTGCTCAGCCCCCAGGCAAAGGCAATCACTGGGCCTCTGCAAAACCCAGGTCCCCCCACTGTCAGCAGCCCCTACCCCAAGCTGCTGCCTGCCCCACCCAGCCCCCAGGGCCCCGTGGGGACTCACAGGTAGTCGAAAATGATGAGGCCACCTCGGGACATGTACTTGAGGTTGGTCTTGGTGAGGAAGAGGATGCCATTCTCCAGGCTCTGGATGTGGCGAACGTCATCACTGCCGTGCACTTGGAAGGAGGAGTATCGCTCCAGTGTGGGCCCGAAGAATGAGGTGGCATGGCCCTGCATGGGCACCGGGGGCAGATCATTGGTACCCATCCAGCACAGCTGGGGGGCCTGGCCAGAGGCCTTGGGGACCAGGGAGGGGTGCTAGGGAAGCCTGGGAACAGGTGCCAAGCCAGGCTGCCCTCAGTGCTCCGTATCTGACCAGGCAGCATTGTGGCAGGAGTCGCCCAAGTGGCCCCAACAGGGATGGGGAGGGGGGCGCTGGGCTGGGCAGGGGCAGGGAGGGGATCTGTGCTGTCACAGCAGAGCCAGGCCAGCATTGACCCAACCAGGCGCAAAATCCCCTGCCCTGCTCCAGTCCCTGTGGAAACCTGTACCTTCACTGCCCATCCCTGCAGTGTCAGCTCCATGTCCCGGATCCCAGCCCCGCAGAGAGCTCTTCCCTCTGTACCACCCCTGCCCACAAACCCATTGCGCTCCGGCACCTACCCCGTGGTTTCCGACCCAGAGCATCTCCTCATGCAGGTCGAAGTGGGCGACAGAGACGGGGACGCCCACCTCAGACACGGCAGTGTGCAGCTCCGAGTAGACACCCTCCATGATGTGCACCGACTCAGGCACAGCCATGCCGTCTAGGGCCACGCCGTCGGGGTCCAGCTCCACATTCTGCAGCAGGGTGGCGGGCAGGTGGGGGTCCAACACAGGCTCCAGGGCGGGGTGCAGGGGGGAGGCATACTCCGCCAGTGACGACGGGTCCAGGCCTTCAAAGTTCATGGTGAACGCGGGCGTCTCCCTAGAAGATGAGACGGCAGGGCTGGACCTGGGTGCCATGGGAAAGGCTGCCAGGCTCCCCCCCTGCCATGGGGCCCCCCTGAATTCAAGCCCATGGGCCACGGACCTGACAGGGGGGCAATCACTCTGCCCCAAGGGGGCCTCACAGCTCTGGGGAGAAGCCGGCTGGGCAGATCCCAGCCCATGTGGGGATGGAGGAGCCACGTTTGTGCCTCAACTACTCCAGGCCTGTGAGACCTCAGGCACGGTTGCAGCTCCATGCACAGGTGCCATCCCCGCCAGACCGGCCGTGGGGCGCGACCCTGCCCAGAACCACCCCCGCTTTGCAGTTCACACTGTCCCCTGCAACAGGATGCAAGCTGCCAGGGCCGGGCCTCCCCAGCAGGGGCTGGCACAGAGGTGGGCAACTGCTGCCTTGGCCCAGCTGAGCCTGGGGACATAGGAGACACACCCTTACCCAGAAACCTCTGCTCTGTGGGCACATGTCCCATGGCCCCTTGGTGTGAGGGATTACCCAGAAGCCTCTTCTCCAGAAAGCATTACCCACAACCCTCTGCTTTGTGACCAGGCGACTCAGAGCCCCCTGGTTTCAATTACCCAGAAGCCCCTGCTCTGTGACCAAGCGACCCACAATCCCCTGGTGTGGAGGGATTACCCAGAAGCCTCTGCCCTGTGACCGGGTGACTCAGAGCCCCCTGGTTTGGATTACCCAAAGGCCCCTGCTCTGCAGGCAAATTACCCAAAGCCCTTTAGTTTGGGGGCTTACCCATAACCCTCTGCTCTGAGAAGCATTACCCAGAAACCCCTGCACTATGGCCAAGCTACCCACAGCCTCCTGGTATGGGGATTACCCAGAAGCCTCTGCTCCAGAAACTATTACCCATAACCCTCTGCTCTATAGGCAAATTAACCACAGACCCCTGGTTTGGGGGCTTACCCATAACCGTCTACTCCAGAGATTATTATCCAGAAGCCTTTGCGATGTGGTCAAGTCACCCGCTGCCCTCTGCTGGCGGGAGGGGGGGGGAATTACCCAGCATCCTCTGCCCCAGCACAAGGCCCGTTACCCAGAATCCTCTGCTCCCTCGTCTCGCCCAGGCCCCAGCCAGGGGCCCGATGCCCAGAATCCCCCGCGCGGCGCGGCCGCGTTACCCAGAGTGCCCTGCGCTCGAGAGTTGCCCGTCTCCCCCGGCAGCCGCCACGGTCCGCTGCGCCCCTGCCCGGGCCGGAGCCGCTTTCCATTCCCTGCCGCTGCCGTCGCCGCTGCTATGGCAACGCCTTCCGCATCTTCCCCCCCCCCGCCCGTGGGCTTCTCTTCCGCCCCAAACGCTCAAACAAACCCCACGGCGGCTGTTCTCCTGTGACAGGCCCCGCGGCCAATGAAAGGCCAGCCTCGGGGACGGCGGACCAATCAGATCCAAGCAGGGGCGGGCCGAGGGCTCTGCCAAGCTTAGCCGAGAGCACACGACGGAAAGAAGGAGCAGACAGAAAGCGCGGGGCCCTTCCCATTACGGCTGTGAGATTTTAAAGGGCCAGCTGCATCCACAGGGCTGCCATCGCCCCACGCAGTCCCCGGGATCTTCCCACTCCGGGATCTTGCAGCCGGACTGACCCGTTAAAACGTGCGCCCCAAACACGGGGGTCCCAGGGAAGGACAGAAGAGGAAGGTCCAAGGCCCTGCCGAACCCTGGGCTTTGACCCCACACACTCAGCCCCTTCCCCAGGAAAGAAAAGCCCCCTGGGATTAACGTGCAATTAACAAGGGGGCAATTAAATACCCAGCCCGGCTGCTGAGGCCATGGAGGAGCAGGTGCCGTGTGTGCCCTAGGCCCTGTCTGGGGGGTCCTGGTGGTCCCATCCGGATTTACATGGGTGCAATGAGCTTGGCCCCTTTGCCCCTGCCCAGGGAGCCGCGCCAATCCGGGGGATGTGGGCTTGGCCGGGCTCTGCTCACATGGCTGAAGGCACTGGTGCCCTGAACCAGGACCTCCCTGGGGGTCTGGCGGTGCCCCCAGCCCAGGGCTGCCTGACCCTGCTGGGGCGGTTCCGGCTCGGCTCCCTGATGGCCTCAAACTGGGGTCCCGAGCGCGTGGGGCCTGAACCATCCGGCACCGGCCTGGGGAAGGGGCAGGCTGGTGGGAGCCCTTTGCCCCCACGAACCCCGCACATGGCCCTGGGGAATCATTCCCACTCGCTTGCCGGCACCTGGTGAAGGAAACTTGAGCTCATGGAGGAAATTCCTGGGAAATCTCTGCCCTCTCAGCCAGCACACTCATGCCCAGGTCAGGGCTTGCCCCACCCCGGCCCGGGGCTCCTGGAACGTCCTGGCCAGCGCAAGCCGGGCTGTCACCAGGGGCAGGCGTCAATGGAAGGGCCGCGGCGGCCACAGCAATAGCTCATGCAAATAACCCGGCGCTTCCTCCTTTCCACCTGCTGCGGCTCTGGGCCCACGCTGCGGCGTGTTGCGGCGAGGCTGGGATCCGCCGGCGTTTCCTCCTCTTCCCCTGGGGCAGCCTCCAGGGGTGGGTGGAGGGGGCGCCGGGAGCCACCCCAATGCCAGGGGGTGGGAATGCCACCCCTGGCCTGCAGCCTTCCTGCTGCCTGGATTTTCCAAGCCAGGCCTGGGCAGGGTCCCAGGAACGAGGGGATCTCCCGCCTGACCCAGGCAGGAAACTCCAGGGACGGAGGGACTCAGAGGCACTGACCCATGTGTCACCTGCCTGGCAGGGCACGGCCAGGGCATCCTTGGCTCAGGATCAGGGCCATGGAGCCCCACGGCTCTGCTCTACACAGCCCCCTACCCCAGCGACCCCTGTTACCCCCAAGCAGCAGGTGCTGGGGCATGGGAGACTCCTGGGAGAGGACCCAGGCGTCCCCAGCTGCTGCCTCCCCCCCCACCCAGCTGCCATGTGGGTTGTGTCGCAACAGGGCGGGAGGGAGGATTGCAGAGGCGCGTGCAGTACCCGGCGCTGCAATGTGTCTCGGTGGGGGTGCGGGGGGACGCAGCTGGCCAGGCCGGGTTTCACTGGGTAGAGTCGGGATTGCCCCAAGATCCATGAGCCAAGTACCCTCTGCTGGGGGGGCTGGCACTTGAGGGGGGGGTGGGGCTGGAGCCTCGATAGACCCAGCACCCCCAGTATCAAGTCCTGGGGCAGCCTGGCTCACGCTGGGGGGGGG